TGCTGATGTTGACTTTGAATTCATGATCGGCCAGTCTGGTGTTCCCATCTTCAAACATCTGTGCTGCATTCTGCTCAGACGTGGCTGTTAAAACGATATCATCATAATGATAATAATAAATATAACAGTAATCATTATTATTATTTCTCAGCAGTATCAACAATGCAAACCCTGTGCACAAGTAGATATGCGTAAATCCAAGCATCATATGCATTGCATGTGATAACGAAAAAATTAATGATTATGTTGCTTTTAAAACATTCTTTCAGTCAGTTTTTTGAAAATTCTTTCTAAAAACGTTTCATACATTCACTGAAATACTTATAAATATTTTTTTTTTGATTATCTGAATATTTTTCATTTCCAAATAAATTTTGTTTTTGGTTGGGAATTGAAATCAAAAAGTTAATGTATTTTTATTTATTTATTTATTTTTGATTAATTATCAAGTCGAATATTTGTTTTAATCACTACACTTCACATTTTTCTTTCATTTCTAAACTTTTACACCTTTATGTTAACTCAGTCATCATTTGTTTCCAAGATATACTTATTTATATTTATTTAGATGGTAATGTTTTTTTAACTATTTAGTTTGGCTAAATTTTGTTTCATTTATTTTTTTAATATTCCAAATTATAAATGACCTTTAAAAAAGAAAAGTCACGAAATTTAATTAGTTCTCTGTTAGTTTACTGTTAGATAAGCAAAGGAACTTGTCCCATTGATAGAACTGTCATGATTACAGGATTAATTGTTAGTAGTATTTTGTAATAAATTTCAAAAATTGAAAAACAGAACTGATGAAAATCAAAAGCCCAGCAGTGTCGTTTTTAGCTATTAATATGAATTGTATAATACAGAGATCATTGAATAGATTTTAATATTGTTCAAAATATGATGTAGTCTGTTCATTCGTTTTTGGTCGAAACATGGTTGTCAACTTAGTCAATATTAGGATGGGTTATTTAAATTTAATTATGTAGTTCATATATGTGGTTATTACTAATATTGGTTCAAAAAGTTGCTTTGTTGGAGGAGATTTTCGTTATCTCAATTGGATGATTAATTTTAACAAGAAACTTTTGATTTTTTTTGTTAAGTTTTGAATTATTATCAATATTAGATTTTGAAATTTGCAATTACGTTTTTGTTTCACTGTTAATTTTCTACTTAAATTAACGGCATTTAGGCTCTCTTAATGATACAACTGTTTGCCAGTATGATTTTCAAATTCCTTATACCGCGTGGCATTGATCTGTTTTATAATAAATTTTATTAAAAATTTTGATGTTTTTTGAGTTTATGCAGGTTATTATATTGTTGCAACTTGCATAATCGTCAAGATATTCAATCTACTGTAGGTTCACTGATTTAGGATAGACAAATGCAATTGCTTTAAGCACAGACTTGTTTAAACGTTTATTTCAATGCCAACAGTAATAGAAACACTGGACTATTCGCAAACCAAAGAATTGCTCTAGATATCGCACGGTCTTGTTCGCAAATACACAGCTCAACTCGATCATCCAACCACCAACATTTCTTTCTCCACAACTTATTTAGGTACAGCAAATTTAGAATTATAAATCATGATAATAATAAGATATTGAAATTATATAGCGTAATTTGCAAAACAGCATTTCGACTATTGCAGCAGATATAACATTACGTTGTATAGTCGGTTTGTCTCTATATAACCAACTTTTTGGCTACTCAGATTTATTTAACAAATAATTATGAGTAAGTTTTGTATGTTCTAATATCAAACTATATATTTTAGCTGTTATTAATTGTGTGTTCAAATTTTAGCCAAATAATAGAATTGGTTTTTTTTATTTGTGTATAGTAATCGGCGAGTTGTATCGTAAATGTCGTTGTGGACGTAATCGAGGTCGGCGAGTAGCTCAGTTGGTAGAAGTGCCATGTCTCGTGCAGTTACGCAATGGCCTGGTTCGAATGCTATCTGTCCGAAACTCAAAGAGGCCATGCGCGTATGATGTGTTGTTGCGCGTGCATACATAACCCGTGTGTGTACGCCGTGTAGCTTGGAAAGTTCGGTCTTTTTGACACGAACAGCGCTCACGAGGACTTCAACTCTACATATTTTTTTAATTATTCCATTAAATTTGTCACAGTGTATATAAATATATTTATTATTTCAATATCTGTAAATAGCATTGAAGTGTTTAACTCTTTTGTGTGTACTAAGTCACCCTTGTTTTTTTTGATGGAATGAAGGAGTCTGTGTGGATGATTGGATTATGACAGAAGAGTCTCTATGGCCTGTTGTTTTATGATTTTGTTGATGGTGTCGATAAAGTTATCTTAATGGAAAGTTTTAAACGGCGTGTCGGAGTCGGATGAAAAATATCCGACTTCGACTCCAATTTTGACCCCTCGAAAAAATTCGATTCCTGGTAAAAATTTCCGATTCCGACTCCGGGTTCCGAATCCCAGAAAAATTTACCAACTTTGGCATCATAACTAAACTTTATTATCGCTACTTAATAAAAATTAGTTTAAAAAACGCTTAAAATCAGTCAATATAATTGCTTTCTTAGTGAAATTACTTTATTTTTATGTTTCAAAACATAGCGAAAAAAAGTTATTTTATTCACATTACTATTATTTATTTTTAGTATTAAAAATGATTGCTTATCCCTGGACATAATTATCCTCTAAAAAACACAATACTAAAAAAATTTTCAAAATAAAATGAAATTTTTTTAAAAATTAACGTTCTCCGTAGTCAGATGAAAAAATCATGGATTTTAGTGCTTTTAGAATTTTTTTATCATCATCATTTGACGGAGTGTTGTGATTAAGGGGAGGGGGGGGGGGTTAGGAACAAGGTTGGTGCCAAGGGTGGTTGTGGTAGTCACGACAGTTAGACATTTAACAAAAAAACATACTAATTTTAATATTAAGCGGTTATCAATAATAAGGCAAAATGAAAAACTATCTGCCAAACAAGTGCTTGTTTATATAGCATTTTACTTTTACTTATTCAAGTCAAATTTATAAATTTATCAACATGTTTTTGGTTGCCACTCTGACCAGTAAGACCACAGACCTGTTTATTCTCATTATTAGTAGCGGGTCTTAAAAAGTTTGGTAAAATTTTGAAACGTAAGCAAAGATTTGTCGTAGTGTGGTCGAAATTACGCTGGCGACCTATTATTGCTTAATCACGTCTATTTTTGGTCGATTTTTCGATGTTCTACATAAAATGGTGCTTTTTTGTGCAAAAACTGAGTTATACTCATTTTTAATGACAATACTGCTTACAACGGGTGGGGGCCATCTAGATCCGTCACTGATTTTTTTTTTACAATTTCAATGGCATTTTTTATTTGCTTACCTGAACAACCAATCGACTCAATATTCGGGCGGCGCTTCACTCCTGCATGATTGCTTCCCAAACGAAATTTCGTTATAAACGTTGGCATTTAAGAAATTTTAATGCGTAGACTGCAAACTTCAAATAAAAATTATGGGCTTTTATGATGTGCTATCAATTTCGATGTTCAAGAAAGCGTCACTTCCGATGCGGTAGGTACATCGAAGAGATTGGCATGACCGTAATTTTTTGTAATTTTTGTTGTCATCATCTCTGACGATAGGTTTTTTGTTTATATTACTATTTGATAAAATTTTGAAATTATATTGTTATTTCAATATTTTTATATTGGTTTCACAAACGTTTGCACATTCTGGGGCGGAACATTGGAGGAATATTTCGGATGCCCAGTCTAATTCGGAATGGTTGGCATTAGAAATTTAGAAAACAACTCAGAGGAACGAACATTTTTGATGAATCAAGAGATACAGCCACAATTGAGACTTTTAGATATGATTATTTTAATGATGATAGTGATAACAGTACTTTAAAAATATACTAGTAAAAACTTTTTAATGAAACGAAAAATGGACAACTAAAAACTGGGAAAAAAAAACAATTGAACATCAGATGATTCCGAACTGGAGCTATTTTCATTAATTAAATGAAAAATTCTCTTAGGCTTATATATTAATAATTTGCCTTCAAAAACCAAAATAACGAAAAATAAACATACTGAAATAAATAATTCTAGCTATAAAGATATATTTTAATTAAATCAAATCAAATTCCTTTTATTTAATAATCTCAAATAATTTATGCAACAAATAATGACATAAATAGAAGAAAATTATAAGGTTGATTGAGAAAAAAACCAAAAAAGTTTGTCTAGTCCGACCACCTTTTATCACTTTTATAATTGTTAAAAGAAATAGGTTGTTAGTGAAAAGTTAAACCCAAAATGTATTTATATAAACATACACGCATATATATATACATTAATTGAATTATCAGTAAACATAGGCATATATAATTATATATACATACACTCATACATATACAAAGCATTTAAATTATTTAAATAATAGTTGAAATAAAGTATATACTCAGATTGTTATAATTTAATTAAAAATAAAATTATAATATAAGTTAAAATAAATTTTTTTTCATTAATAAATGTGCATATATATATATATATATATATATATATATATATATATATATATATATATATATATATTAAAATGTGCATGTGTTTGAGTGTTTTTGCCTGTCTGTGTTTGTGTGTATACATGATGTCAAGATTAACAAAAATATCTATACAAATCAGAGCATCTTCTACTGAATTTTTTAAAAGTATTTAAAATTTAAAGTTTTCGTTTGATGTAAATAATAAATAATTTTAGTCAACAAATAATAATTGTACATTAAACTTTAGTTTACCATTACAGACATGCAAAATAATTATTCTTAAGTAGTTGTTACCATTATTTTGTAACGAATTTTGTTTAATTTAAATGAATTTTTGAATTTTGTTCAATTTAAATGTTTAATAATTTTCGTGGAATGTCCAATCTGATGGCATATTACAACACCAATTTCCAGGCAGACTGCAGTTTTTATTGTGAAGGCTTGCTCTTTGAACAAAACAGGCAAATTATTGTGGATTGAAGTATGTTGCCACTTTCCATTCGGTTTCATATCCCTCTTTCAGCTTGCTCACTATGTACACCAGCACTTTATGCCAAGCTTCAGATAATTCGTTAGTGTAAACATCTTTTAGTTCTTGTTTCCATATGCTAATGATGGCCCTAATATATACGTCGTAATAATCAGGCAGGAATCCTTCTATACTAACGTGCTTCTTACCAAGTTCAATTAGTGGTTGAGCACATTCTTCTTGCAGGTAATCCAATCGATCGACTACACATCCAATCACTTTGACGAATCTTTTTGAGTGGGTTAGAAATAATGGATGCTTTATTAACTTGTCACCCCATACGGTCTTAAATGGAAATAAATTTTTCGTTGATGGTCTTAATTCAAATATTCTCAGGAAAACCTGTAGTTTTTATAAAATAATTTTATTATTCATAACAATTTTTAACAATTATTTATGTTTATTATACTAAAATGATATTTTAAAAATTAAGTTATTAAATTAATAAATTTTAATTGATGTTATTTTTTGACTAAGATCAAATTGTTCTGTGTGGTTTCAAATGTGATATTATTTAAAATTAAAATGCTTAATGTAAAATATTAATGTATAGAAAGAAGTCCAAAATATACAATGATTGTAGATATTTAATGGGTGGAATTAAATGTGTTTCTTAACATCACCAAAATATTGTTGTATACATTTTTAAGTTTATTTTAGGCAAAATGCTATGTCGTAAACTGGGTGATGATAAAAATACGTCTGATATGTTAAAAGATGAAAAGCACGACTGAATTGTATCTTCTATATATATTTAACATTAAAATGGTTCCATTTAACAATTGTCAGTTAATGTATGTACTACGAGTTTGCTTAAGTAAGATTGTGTTGAATGATCTGAAAAACAGCTCATATTTGAAAACCACCTATATATTAATATGATCCAAACATGTAAGTTAAACATGTTTTTTGCTAAATTATGTAATGCTAAAATATTGTGGTTACATATTAATGAGAACATGAATTTTTGAAAACATCTTAAAATTTTTGGAGACAAAACTGCCTCTTTATATTTACTATGCATAGTTTTTGTTTTTATATTTTCACGTTTTCATTTTCCAATGCAGGTTTGGCCAATATACGGCCTGCGGAGCCGGCTGCATAATAAATTTATTCGGCCAGCGATTGTATTTTAAACGTTTCAGATGACGTACTTTGGTATGAGAAATTTGATTTATCTTGATAAATCAAAAATAATTTTTTTCAAATTCTGAATTTTGCAAAAAATTTGCAAAAGATACTTTTTTATTTTTAGAGTATTTTTTAATTATTTTATTTCATGAATTCTTGCATAAAATTTCAGCATAATTAGTTTTTTTGTCTGACGCCATATGGATCATAACAGCCAGAGACTATTATCAAGTTGATCACTCGTTTATAAAAAATTGTTATATCCTCAATTCTTACAAATTTACAGTTGTTTTGTTATCTTATCCGCTCAATTATCAATGATTGCTCTTATCACAATTTTGAGGCAATGCAAGGACCTCAAGTTTACTGTATTGCTGTGCTTATATTTTCTTCAACAAATTTATTATACAAATTTTACTACGTTGTCTGTAATGAGTTATGACTAATTTAATGGAAACGTCATTAGAAGAAAGGAATCTTAATGTGGTAAGAACAATTTTACAATACTTTCTTCATTTATTTTTATATATACTCAAAATTATTTCCCACTTTTATTTGTAAGAATACACTTTTTGAGATGGCTTGTTTTCCATAGTTTTGTCTTTTATGATTTTTTTAACATTTTTTTATTTTTTAACCCATGAATTGATGAATAACAGCACGATGGAACAGTTAAATATAATGTTCAATTTAGTTCACTATGAAACACAGTTTTCTTTTATAGCGTGGTCGCTAACAAGCTGGAGATGTAATGGATAGACATGAATTCTCATTCCGTCCCAACGTCTTCATAAGAGGATATCTCATTGATTGTTTCATGCTTTCAAAGTTTATGCTGTAGTATGTGTTGTTAATGTGTATGTGCACACATTGTTTGTGTTGATGTTTGTATGCATTGTTTGTGTTGATGTTTGTATGCATTGTTTGTGTTGATGTTTGTGTGCAATGTTTGTGTTGATGTTTGTATGTATTGTTTGTGATGATGTTTGTATGCATTATTTGTATGCTTTCATTGCCGAAAGTAAGTTAATGGCTGGAAAGATGTGTATATGCGTACGTTTGTGCGTGCTTGTGCGTGTGTATGTGTGCGTGGTGTGTGTTTGTGTGTGCTTATATTTGTCTGATTGAGGCAACATTTGTGCTTATATTCGTTATTTTTTCCAATTTATATTTCAAGTTTACAGCGTTTCTTTTTTGCTGACTTTCTGTGAAACGAAATCAACTCTTTATTTTTTTTGTTTTAAATATCATTAAATTGTCGTTTTATATATAGACACTTGAAAAGCAAAGGATATGTTGACTCACAGAGTGAGCCAACTAACCTCATCTCTTTAATTAAATTACCGGTCGAGACAAGATTTAAAGCAATACAAAGTGATTCTTGATAGCAATTTACATGCTTTTGTAATTAAAGCTATTCATGTTTAATGTTGAACGCTGCATCCGTATTTCTTTGTACGCCTCATTCAATTAATTAGTGATCGTTTTCAAGGGAGTGACGAATGCCATTCAATTTGTTTAAAATAGTTAACCATTATCCGAATGTTCCAATTAAATTCTTTGGACAACATTAAAATTCAAAAATGTTCATTAACAAGTTGCTACCTTCGTTTCATTCTATGCTTATTCACTTTTGAGAAGTCATTATTTTCAATCATTTAAACAAATTCCTAATATATTTCTTTTTCTATGGCAACAAAACTAAAAAAATTTCACGTTCTCATGATTCAATATGATTTTAGCACCATCATTCAATATTCATCTTAATTCTACGTTCTATTTAATAAGGAATTTTAGTTATTTATTCATTTGTTTATTTATTCATTATATTTCAAGTTATCGATATGAGATGTTTAACAGCAGTTCTGTAGTCAATTGTTTGCTTCCTCTCAAATAATACAATATACAACGAACAAACCTGTTTACCCAAAGACTTGAGTTTGATTGACAGAAGTGTCCATGACTCTCTAACCAGTTGCTTTTCTCTGATTGTCAGTACATCATCGTTATTTAAATAATTTAAATTATTAAGAAGCGGTTCACTTTTGACTTTTTTAAATCCATTAGCTCCCATGTTTTGAGTGCGTACTAAGAAAGCAAACCAATCTTCTTTTGAATAATCCACTTCCAAACTTTTGCTTGTTGATTGCTGACAGCCCATGATAGATGTTTATACTAGACACACTTATAAATATAATTTTATAAAATGCAAAAAGGAGAATCGACCTGCTACAGTTGGTGGCTTATATACCTATCTAGCCGTTGCTTCTTTATAAACTTTTTTGTCTTAATGCCATCACGCACGTGCATACAATGCATACGCGCTTACACACGTAGATCAATCTATATAATATATAATCTTCATGTATATATGTCGGTCATTCTTTGTCAACCTGAACCATAATCCACGCCTGACCAGACCATCTCCATTTTTTTCAATTTTCAACAGTAAGTATCTTAATGTATTTTATCGAAAAAATAAAATTATTATAAAAATACTAGTTACCCAGGTGAACTTCGTATCACCTGCGAAAATGTAAATCGGTAAGTTCAATATCATTCTAAATTTTTCAAACTGATTATTGATATAATTCATTGAGTCCGCTTTAAAAATATAATTATTGTTTGAGTTTCGTTTGTCAAAAAGGTTGATCAACATTTTAACGGAGCTGATAAGATGAAAAAAAAAACTCATCAAATATAAACCGCTTGACCAAAATTAATCAATACAAATGTCAAATATAGCATGTTATCTATTGACTGTATGATAAACAAATTGAATTCATTTTTTAATGTAATATCGCTTTCTATAGTGGCGGATCTAGGGAGGCCGGGGGCAATGGCCCCCCGTTGTGAGCAGTTTTTCATTAAGTCAGAAAATGACCGTTATTATTATTATTAATTTATATCGCGTCCTATGCTTAGCTTCAAGGACGCTTGGATAATCAATGACTTTTGACGTTTTCGTAGGCCTGGATAAACAAAAAGTTCTTTAATCGTTTCCTAAAAAATTTGATGGTTGGTTGTTGACGAATAATGGCCAGCAAACCATTCCATATTGAAGAAGAGCTGTGCGTAAAACATTTGTTGACAACCAATGAATTGCTGACAGGTTGATGCAACTGTGTATATGAAGACCATCGAAGTTAACGAGTTGATGAACGACGCGATATAATTTGAGGAAGATATGATGGTTGAGATGTGTTAAATAACTTGTACGAGAGGACAGCTAGTTTAAATATAATGCATTGACGTACTGGTAACCAATGTAGTTGAATGAGTGAATTTGTGCTGGAAGATAAATTACTGATATTTAAAACAACTTTTGTAACTCTATTTTGAGCTCTTTGAAGTAAAGTTAAAAGGTAGGAAGGAAGACCGTTGAGAAGAGAATTACAATAATCTAAACCTGATGGTACGAGACATCGAGCCAGTGCAGAAGCAATATCTTCAGTGAGGAATTTAGGAATATGACGAATAGTCCACGTATAATAGTTACAAGATTTGATCAAAGCTAAGACATGAGAATTAAAAGATAGAAAAGAGTCAAAAGTTAAGCCTAAAAATTTAAGTTTAGAGGTCGAGGAGAGAGAAGAATCAGCCAATAAAACGTGTGATGGGGGAAACATTTGATAAGCTGTTGCGGAGTGCCAAGAAACATCGCTTCAGATTTGTGGGGATTTAGCTGAAGATAGTTTGATAAATGCCAATCGTTTATGGCCATAGTACATGCATTTAAGTTGTCAAGCTGAGATATATGATGAAAGGTGGGAATTTTAGCTATTATACATGTTGATAAAAGAGTAAGCCAAAAGTTTTCTAATGATATTAGAAATAGGAAAGGTATAAGTGGTGAAACAAGTGGGACAGACCCTTGAGGAACTCTAGTAGATAAGGTGAAGTTAAAAGAAGAGTGGGAGTCAAGTTTAATGTTTTAAAAACGATTAGAAAGATAAGATTAAAACCAGGATAAGGCAGATCCAGTTTTTGGTATACTTGACCATTCGGCCACATACACAACGTATCAATTCGAACAACGAAGATGGTATAGGAATTCCGAAAAAAGCTTTTTTGTTCTATCATGCTTAAATGTTCCATCATGCTTGAAATAAATAAAAATTTTGGTTTTGAACTCAATAAACTTGACAATGATTTACCACCTACTAATGTTCCCTCTAAGGAAGAAAAGCACTGTGCAAAAATTAAATTAACTGACAATTATTTCAACAGTCTGAGGAAATTTGCGGTAGTCAAAAAGCTTTATTTGTAACAAAATGCTACCAAATACATAAATACGTAAACACATAAATAAGCGTTTATTTATATATTTATTATAATATATGTATAATTAAGTTAAAAATGTTAAAATTCAAAAGATTAAAAGATATGCTTTAAATAAATTTTGTACGCTAGTTTCTTTTCTGCACTTGTTGGTTTTCCAGAATTTATAAACTTCATCAATGTCGACTTGATACCCACTCGTTAGACAAAACTTTATTCGAATTACCATATATATCAATAAATTTTTTCGTAGTAGTAAACTTCTTCTATTAGCACAAAATCAATCTCATCATGGAACTTTTTCATATTCCCAAATTCAAGTTTTTTTTAAAGTAATTTAAAATCATAATATTCAGAAAGAATTTCTCCCTTGAAGCAAATGTTTGTATTTTTCAACTAATACATTTAATTCTCTTTTTCTAAATTCATAATCATTTTGATTATGACTGCCTGTGTATCAAACGCCACCCATTCTTTTAATTAATCAGCCGAAAACCTTTCCTGCAAATGTTGATACAATCGTTCAATAACCTCAAAATTTAACTCGAATTTGTATCTTTGTAGTCTGTTGATAAAAGTGTTCCAACGGCATCACTCTAAGAAGCTTATTTTTCTGAATTTTGTAATTTTGATAATCTAATTTCCACATTTTTCATTTTTTGCCACTTGAAAATTCATTGCATGCTTTGGCTTCAGAGCGTATTTTACAAATCAAACCAACATCTTCTAAAAAATCAAAAATATTTTCTTACTGCTTGTGTTTCAAACCTTTTGAATCAACGGTCTGTCTCAGGTTTGAACATTTTTTTAACTTAACCATGCTTCTTTGAAACTATTTGCCACCTTGCTAGTTTTTGATGAGCCATCGGTATCTTCACGTAGTCGCTTCATAACAAAAATTTAAATTAGATCGCAAAAACTAATTTAATCAGTAATTATCAGAAATTTCTACAAATCAATTTTATGTTGTTATTAATGAATATTTTATATAGCTTTCACATTTTCGTCGGAAGTAAACACGAAGATAAATGCAGCAAAATATGACTAGCGATGTAGCCCTTATTTAAAAAAATTGAAAACACGGAAGTTTGGTTATATAAAATTGAAGAAAAAATTGTGTAAACTTTTATTTTTCCTATATCGGGTTAGTATGATTTACAGCGCAGAAGAAAAATAAGCTGCGCTAGCATGTTCAAACTACTGCGCAGTCGCTCAGCTTAGAGAGAACATTGCTATCTACGTTAGAAAAATTGAAATATTACACAGGAAGTTAACTAACGCGGAGCGTGCTGTGATTTTCATTAATAATTGCATTTTTGACAATCTTAAAAATCTTTTTAAATTTTATGTTTTGAAAATGTTTAAGTTTTCGAAGCGTCATTGCTCCTAATACAAATTTATCGCAAAACAATTAATTGTTTCATTATGTATTAAGAGTACTTCATAGCCTTGATTGATGAGCCAAATTTTTGTTACATCTGTTCATTTTTTGATCCTTTAATTGTCAAAATGTCAAAAAATTGAAAACTCAATTCGTTTGGCGCCATTTTTAACCATGAAAAACAAAAAGTTAAATTTTTTTTGTATTGTATGGTGCTTTTATAGCTTAAACAACATATAAAAAAAATAAAATGGTGTTTTTTTTTAAATTTTAAAAATGGGTAAATTTTTTCAAGTATAATTTTTTTTAATATTTTCACATCTATGCACCTTGTTTTACAACTTGTCAGTGTGCATAATAATAGTTACATAATAAGCTATGCTATTATTTTTCAATAAATAATTTTATATCACCAGGCAGAACAATTATAATATGCCCAAATGGTACACATCCAATCTTATCGTTCTCGGATAAAAAATTTGTCTTTAAACTTTCTCAAACATTCTTAATATTTCCCGAATACCATTTTCTTTCGTCGACCAAGCTAAAAGGTCATAATTATCATTGTTGTCATTACTTGAAATGTTTACTTGAATTATATTCGGATGATAAAAGTTTCATAGAATTTTGTTTGTTTAGGTTTAAAAGAAATAAATGATGATTTGATTTATACAAAGCTTTATTTTATCTACTAATTTAAATCTTTTTCTGATCATTCGAGATTGGGATTTTTCTTTCTAAAAACTTCAATATTATTTAATTTTGCATCACTGTATTTTTATAAATCTTTCGCATTCAATATTTGACTATTTGTCTATATCTTCATGCCGGCTTTTGCAGCCAACCTTTTCCCCTTTTTCAGTCCATTGCAAGGACTTTTTCTGTGAGAACTGAATGAGGTCATCCTGCCTCTTACCCCTAATCTGGTTTATGATATTTTAAATTTGAAATCAAATCATCAAAATAATACTCATTAGGAACAACATTTTTCATGTTTTATATTGTATAGCTAATTAAATGCCTTTAGAAACAAAAATGATAGAAACACTGTGATCAAAATTTTCCATGGACCATATTTTTTAAATATAGAAAGGATTGGATGAAGAGTAACTCGCTTGTTGTTCCAGCATTGACACTGGATTGGATCCTGTATTATCACTGATTAGTTTTAAGCAAAACCTATTAAGGCAATACATTCAAGTTTTATAAACTTTTTTCTTGAATCGCTGAAATGTTTTGATAGCTTTTTCAACTATCCCACGGTGTTATGATTATGATGGAGATGTTGTTGCTCATTGCGATGATATTTCCCTTCTCGGTCAAATTTTATAGTTTCAGCATTTAAACAAATTTTGCCCATCCTGTCAGCGTTGTCCGCCTCTGTTTGCATCACACTTTTGTACTATACAAATGCAATATTATAAACATACTAGTATACGTGTATTTGAATTTTCAATTGTAATTGTATAAACAAGTAACAAAGAAATTGGTTATTATAGTTAAGCTCGTTTTAGGTGTACGCTGTAGAGATATATTACTTATAAAAAGCATTCGTAATATTAAGAACATTGATAATAATAATAAATGAAACAAATATTTCATGTAATAATTTGTGATCTTTCGAATGTAAACCAATGCAGCTGAACGTGTAGACGGTTCCTATTCAAACTTCTGCAATGAAGTAAGGTCTGGATTGGATTACACCGGAAAGCTTTTGACCACTACGTAGGTTTACTTTTAATTTACATACATCATTACTGTAGTCTTGTCACAACGATGTTTAAATAATTTTTGATTTTGTCATTTTCTTTGATTCAGACAGTTAGACTTTATAGAATTTAAACAAAACAAGTCAAACAAAAAATCTTAACATAACATAATATAACATAATGATAAAGTAAGACCAAAGTCCTTTTGCCCCTATCCAAAATAATATCAAAATATAAAATATGCAAAATAAACACACACGTTTAGACGACATTTTCCCCGAGATCGGGAATTGCCGTTTGGCTACCTATGATGAAATCAAAATATCTCTCGACGCCATTCACATCTGTCACTCGCCTCAGTATCACGCAACCCCGCTTTCACTCTGTCCTCCACCTGCTCTCTCCATCCCAATCGCGGACGACCCCCTCCTATTACTCCTTCAACTTCGAACTCCAACGCTCGCCTAATCCCGACCCTTTCATCCCTTCTCAACACATATCCATACCACCGCAATATCGATCTCCTTATCAATGTCTTTATGTCCTCATCAACTCTGTACTACTCCTCCTATCCTTCACTTTAGCCCCACACATTATCCTCACCATAGCTCTTTCAGCCCTCTGCAGTACACTTTCCTCCTCTCTCCTAAGCACCCAAGTTTCACCACCATATACCATCGCTGCTCTCACACATTCCTTATATACCCTCCCTTTCATCTTCACTGACCATTTCTTTCCACACAATACCCCACTCAGTTCCCTAAATTTCATTCATCCAACATGAACTCTTGCCGTAACAGCGCTCAAACATCCTCCATCCGCGTTCAGCTTAACCCCTAAATAAACAAAGCTTTCCACTCTTTCAATACCACCACTCAACCCCGTCCTTGCGTCCGTCCTATTAATCACACCATGAACACATTTCTTACATTTGAACGTGCCTTCCACCTTTTTCAGTGCCCCCCTCACACCACTCAATCTCTTTTGCACCAACTTCTGACATCCTATACACAAATATAAATCTGTTTCATCATATATGCGAAATGAGCTTCACTGGTTGCCAGTTTGTTATAGAATCGAATTCAGAATAGCAATGTTTACAAGAGATAGTTTGATGGGGCTTGGTCCTCGATATCTTCAACAGCTGATCGTGCATTTCCCTACGGCTGCCGGGGGGCGAAAACTCAGATCCTCTGCCAAAAAGAAACTCGTTGTTCCTAGGTCCAGGACAGAAAATTATGGACAGCGTCGTTTCTCCGTGGCTACAGCGGATGTTTGGAATAAACTGCCCGATGGTGTCGTTGGTAGTATGGATGAAAGAGACATGTTCCGAAAACGACTTAAACATCACTTTTTTGACCGGCAGCTTCTCGAACAGCGCCTCTGAGTTTTACTTAGAGGGGCGCTATATAAATTCTCCATACCATACAATACCGAGTTAGCTTTCACTCTCCTGTCACGTACCACTTTTAACTTTTAACCCTCTCTTTTCGATAACACTTTTCCATCTGTTAAATTTTAACTGCAATTCTTTTATGCTATCAGCCATCAAGACTAAATCATCTGCATACAAAATCTCAAATAACAACCCCTCCATTATGTTTCCACACACAGCATCCATCACAATTGCAAACAAAAACGTTGATAACACTGATCCTTGATGCACTCCTACCTTAACACATCCCTCCTCCGACCCTCACTTTTGTCTTCGCCCCTTCATACAGCTGCATCACAGCTTTAACAAGTTTCTCATTCACTCTTTTCTTCCTCAACGCCCATTCAATGTCCTTCCCCGGTACTCGATCAAAAGCCTTTTCTAGATCCACAAAACACATGTACAATCTTCGTTTCTTTCTATAATTCTCCTGCAACATTCTCACTATGAACAACGCATCCACCGTTCTCCTACCCACACTGCATTTCATTAACTGTCACCATATTTCTCAACCTCTTATCAAGCACCCTCTCCACTACCTTCATTCCATGCTCTAGCAATTTCACACCCCTATATGACCCACAATCTCTCACATTTCCTTTGCCCTTATACAACGGCACCAACACACTGTGTCGCCAATCCTCAGGTATACCTTCATCATCAAACATACTGTTAGCAATTCTCATCATAACTTCAATTCCTATCACCCCACTCGCCTTATGTTCCGTCGCCACTTCCGAAACCCCTGTCGCCTTACCTAGTTTCATTTCTCTAACTGCTTTCTCTACTTCCTCCATCATCACCTTCTCTATGGATCCGTGTGTGACCGCGGATTCCACATCTCTCCATCCCACTCATTTTCTTCATTCATCAACCTTTCCATATGGGCTTTCCACACCTAAGCTTTTTCCTCCTCATCTATGCACAACTTGTCTGATCCATCCCAAACATATCCATTCCCTATAACATCTTTTCTATCCTTCATTGACTGCTTTGCTACTTTGAACATTTTCTTCGAACTCACATCAAATTCCATTTCCTTCATTAACCTATCTGATGCTTTCGTCATTGCAGTTGCCACTGCCCGTTTTGCAACCTTCTTAGTCTTTCTATACTCAAACTCCGCTTCCTCCGTCATGTCCCTTCTCCACACCTTAAACCTCTCCTTCTTGACCTCCAAAACCTTTTTTATATCTTCATCCCACCACCACGTCTCACCATGCCTACACTTTCCTTTCGTCCATCCACTTACTGTATCTGCCGTAGTCAACACACAGTTCCTATATCTCTCCCAAACATTTCCATCCTTACCACTCTCCCAACTTTCAGCCACCTTCACTTCAAATGCTTTCCTCACCTCTGCATCTTGTAACTTCCATGTCTTTATCTTTGCCACAAACTTATATTTCTTCCTCCTCCCCATTTTTTTTGAAGCCACATCCATCACAACCATACTATGCTGCAACATACCAGGTATCGCCTTCACATTCCTTACATACTTTCTATGCTTTGCCCTTATCAATATATAATCTATCATTGACCTATGCTCCCCTGACCTATATGTAATTAATCGTGCTGATTCCCTTGTAAACCAGGTATTTCCCACCACCATACTATGTGCATCCGCCAACTCCAACAATTTACGCCCTTCCTCATTCCGTATACCATATCCCCATCCCCCATGTACACCTTCATATCCGTCTGCATCCGCCCTCACATGACCATTCAAATCACCCAACAACACAACAAACTCATCCAACCCCGCTTGCCCAATCTCGTTAGAAACATCATCATAAAACCTATCCTTCTTCTTTTCCTTCCTACTTTGTTTCCTACTTTGTTACCTTTCCAAACACCATCACCACCACAATTACGACATCATTGCTTTTCCGCCTCACTTCCAACACCTTCTTCACCAACTCTTCTCTTGCCATCACACCAACTCCTCCCGTACCATTATCCCCCTTCCATCACAACTTATACCTTCTACCAGTATCCGGCAAAAGAGGGTGCGAAGGGTCCCCGGAGACCCAGTATATATATATATATATATATATATATATATATATATATATATTATATATTTACAATATTTTATAAATTCTAGCGAATGTTTGGCGTGAATATGCTTGTAGTTG